CTCGGCTCGCTCGGCTTTTTTAGTGGAGCTGGTCGCTGAGAAAGGGCTTGTGGAAGCGGTCAGATGCCCAGGCTCACCGAAAGGCTGGTTAAGGTTCAATACCTGCCTGCTTTAGGGGCAAAAAGAGGCATTTGGGGTCTTGCTGCCTCGTGCCGAGGTTGCTAAGCAATGAAGTCACTACAAGTAGCTAATGTCACGGCTACATCTAAAACCCATCATAGCATTAAATTCATCGTTGTAATTAAATTCTCTCACTATTTATAACACCATCTCCCTTACATGGTGTATCTTGTCCAGCCTTGTGGCAAACTAGCTAATGCAACACAATGCATCCACCTAATTTCCATTGCCATTTAGTGCCCATATGCCACAATTTATCACAAATCTGAAGGCACAGTAAAGAAAATGTGCTGCAGAGAATGCGATTAGTTCACGAATAGGTAAAAGCATGAAGAAAGAGCCCTGTTTTACTTAAAACTTACCTCCTGTCCTTCAACTGTTCCTTTGATTACCAACACTGGTATGGCAGAAGAGCTGTGTAAGACCAAACACAGCTGCTGAAATAGCGGTGGTTTTGCACCACCATACACTATGCTTTGGGGGTAAAGTAGAGCTGCTAGATGAACCCCCTACACCACAGAGATGATTCTGTGTGCTATGGATCCATAGTGTCAGGCAAGCCCCACTCTGAGACCAGTTAGAGTGCTCCTGATGTGTTTACACGAACCGTTGCAGCAACATCTTGAAAGGTGGGGATGGCTGTTCTGCAAACCACCTCCCTGCAAGATGCCCAAGGCTGAGACCACGAGAGACCATGACCACTGATTCCTGTGTTGCCAAAGCTGGTATTCACCATGGTGGCAGGCTGATGCCGCTGCCTCTTCTCTCTAAACCTCCACAGCTAGTTGCTGCAGCTAAAGCATGGTACAAAAGGTCCAGGAGGGGAGTTGAGGTGTTTTAGGTAGCTACTACTACTTGGGCAGGAGGGTGAAGAGAGGCAGCCCCTCCTAAATGCAATATTTGCCCCTAAGAGTTGCAGAAGAGGCTCTCCTCTTCCATCTCTTGGCCCATCACTCGCCCTTCTGTGATGGGAGCCGTTGGCTCTCATTCCTACTTTGGCAAAACAAACTTGGTTTTCCCCACTGCCAGCGTGTTGTTTCTGCTTGGTTGCACTTGCAACCCACAGATTCCTCCAGCCAGCCGTTACCAGCATAGCTTAACAACAAAAACAACCCCCAAATCCAAGCACATTCCTTCTCCTATTAAAACTGCTTCAGGCCCAGTGAATGCCATGGCTGATGCCAACCAGGCTCCACACCTTTGACTGGACTTTCAGGCCTCTTTAATTTCTGAGTTGTCTGAAGTTTTCTGTGTCACTCGAGAGAAGAGAGCGCATCACCATCGCATCAATTGCAATGCATCATTGACATGGGCAGTGGATCCATGTTACACTGCTAACATGCAGGGGATCCATCCATGTGATATGGCAACAAACAGAAGGGCAATACCAACATTTAGATAGAATTAAGCTTTCTTATCAATATAACATTATTTGAATTGTGCCAGAAACATAAAGTCTAGGGCTTTCTCCATCTTCTGGGCAACAAGTAATCTAAGAATTGTTCTTTCCTAGCTGGACAGATTTATGTCAGGTGTGATGAGGACATTGCAAATAATTTTCTGTCTCTTATTATGTGTCAGGGGAGATCCACTTTTTAGGTAAGTAAGCTTGCCTAGAAGTTGCCCAAGACAAATGGGATGAGGATGTTCACTGACCTTACTTTGGCGTTACAACATCTTCCCAGGCCATGTGGCATCAGACAGGTGTGACCTTAATTCTGTGCTTGCCATCATTCCTGCCCTGCCTGGCATACTCATTCTTTTAACTCATCAGGATCTCCTACCTAGTTTTTTAACAAATTTTTATGATCCACTAAAATTGCCTCAAAAGTAAATGGTCAAATTTCTTCACTAAAAGGAACTCGCTTGCTTCTGATATTATCTGGGTCACACTACATCTGAGAACCAGGCTTAGATTTTCATTATACCTACCCCAGATCTATTAGGGAATGTGCAAATAAATGAATTCTTAATTCTTTTGTGATGTTGAATTTTCCCCTCAGTTGCTCCTGACTGTAAATAGGAAGTTTAGAGCAGCAAATGAAATATCTTCAGATTTCGCTTCATCGGCATGCTGTGAAGCAGAATAAATGGTTTTACATTCTTCAACAGAGATCCCTAGGGTTGTCCGGATGTGCTCCTCCCAAGAAGCTCCAGCACACAAATGACTAGGTCCACCACCTCACACAACAGCTCTGTGCACCGTCAGCTACAACAATAAATTCATTATCTGTCTGTAAATCAGAACTCTGATGGTCTAGCTCTTACATTACAATTAGTACAAGAGCTAATAAACTACTGGCAGGCGTGGCTGGTTTCTTCTGTATTTCTGTATACAGGCATGGTTTTCTTTTAAAGGAACTCATCTATTTGTAACCCTCTAGGTACTGCAAGGAATAAGAATCCAGGTTCTGGGCAACTTTACTGCAAATCATTAAGGAACTGCTTTTAGACTCATTCCAGCTTCACAGATGTCTAAAGACAGGGCATACTTGCCTGCAGGAGATGGAGATGGGAACCGATTACAAGGAGGCTCAAGTTTCAGCTCTAAAACTGATGTTTCCAGCAAGACTGTCTTCTCGCATCAAATCTGTGCTGCCAAAACATCCTCCAGCTCATTGGTACCAGTTGGCACTGAGGGGAAAGAGGAAACGCTGCCTGCAGCAAAGTACCACAAGGCATAGACCTTACCTCTGCTTTGGAAACACTTTTCAGTGCTGGAATTACTGGTTAAACAGCTGGTACATGACCCTGGAGGGATAAGCATACCCTCAGACTCTTTTGGTACATTCACTAATTGTAATTTATACGAAATCACAGCAGAAAAAAAAAATCTTTAAACAGAGTCTGCATGGAGCTACCCATATCTTTTGCAAAGAGTGAGACAATACTTTATTACAATGAGTAGAATGAACTTTTATTTTCATTCATCCTTCATCAATACCATACAATTAGATAGCAATATCTGGAAAAAAAAATAATCTTGAAATAATTTAAAACAGAAGGCACAGAAAACCAAACCCAACTATGCACCTACAAGAAAAAGAGGAAAAATTATTTGGGAAGGGAATTAATTCAGAAAGGTTCTATTGCTAGACATTCTGATCAAAAGCTACAGCACACAGAAACAAAACTGCACAGTTTAAGCTAACCCATGCTTTTGTTACATACACATATAAAAGAAAAAAAATCTAAAAATCTTTAAAATAAAAAACATTAAATCTAGTACATATGTCAAAAACTTCCCCAAAGTCTACACTAAGATGTACTTTACAAAAAAAAAATCTGCATTGAGAGTAAAGTATACAGTTAAATAACATCTGGGGATGGGAGGAAACTTGTTCTCAGATCAGTTAGGGTAGTAAATAAGTTTGGTGTTTGCTTCAGAAACAAAGGTTCTCAGTACAGTAATATACCGCAGAGGACATTCTTTTGTATTTTAATATTATGAAATTAAATTGATAGCATACATTACAGAGGAATAAAACCACTTCATTCATATGAGATTTTTACAATTTTTTTTGCAAAAGAGTAACTTTATTTATTTTGAAAACAAAGCTACTGGAATTAATGTCATGCGATAATATGCCCCGATATTATACCGGCTTTGTTTGAAAATGAAATTCATGCTTCATAATTGAACTATGCTGTGATCCTCAAATACATTCTCTGGTAATTAATAACGCAATACAGAGGTCATTCATAAAATCAGTTCAGGATGGGAACCTGGTTTATAAATGAAGCTCTTTGTCAAATATGCAGAACACTGACAACACCCAGGGTTTGCTCCAGGTCAGCACATTTCTTTCTGTGCTCCACCCCTCTTTTCTTAAACAAATGGGTCCTCAGCCTGCAAATATCATGGAAAGGAGAAGTTTAGAAGTTACAGGTTCATTTGTAAAAATATCAAATACAATCCAAGATAAATAGTATTACTCTTACTGACAACTTAATAGCAGGTGCTCTCTAAAGGAAAAAAAAAATATCCTGAAATACAAGAGAGATAATTTCAGCATTTGATATCAAGGCATTTGCACATATGTCAGAAGGTGAGAGAAAAGGAGTGAACTTTGCAGCTTAGTTTGCAGTTGGAATTGAATTCAAAGAGCCCTCCTTCCAGACTGCCCACCTGTAAACCATAACATATGGTTTCTTAACAGCATGCTTTTTTTCCTGGAAGTAATTCTCTCATTTATAAAGTATAAGTCAAAGTATTATTTCCACACGTGAATAAAGAGAGCTGACAACTACAATAAAAAACAGTAAAAATGATCTTTGTAAAAATGTTCATCAAAATTCTCTGACATAGCAAAACGTTCACTTGTAAAGTCAAGTCTAATACTCCAAGCCATTCACTCAAGGGCGACCTCGGGCATGTGTATTCTTGCCAGCATTGCAACAGTAATTACTTCCATATTTCTTGTCATTATAGGATACAAACTCTGTAATATATTAAAGCTGCTTAACAAAGAGTCCAATTATTGCACTTTATAAAAATTCCAGTAATATCAGGCTTTTGTCCTACTTTTCTATGAACACAGATGCCCTGCAAGAAAAATTTGGGGGACCAAGTAATTTCTGATGAGTAAGATGGATTTCTTGAATCAGTCTCAAATGTTGACTCAAAAATGGAAAGGCTTACAAAATGAAGAGACGAGACATACCTTTGGAAACAGATTTTGATTCATAGCAGCAGATAGAGATGTGTCACTGCAGTACTGACACACGTTCTCTTGGCAGGGAAGAATGGGCACATGGCTATTACAATTTATATACCACATATAACTTGAGGACTGTGCAGAGAAACCCAAAGAACCGCTAAGTTCTTCTGCTGACTCTACAAGCCTGACACGGAAAGCTCAACAACAGCCACATCTCTCTGTGAGCTCGTGTATATTTGCATTTGCATCAGCCATGGATACAGCAAACAGAAATGGCTATTTCAGGATGGAGAGATACATGGAGCAAGTCTGAGACACCCGTAAAAAAGAAAATACAGCAGTTTTGGCCCTGCTTATAATCAGCTGTATCAATAAGGAAAAAAAGATAAAGGAGATTTTTATGCCAACTATCTAAAAAAAGAAGCTGCTTGAACCAAAGTGATTCCCAAATCTATATGAGGCTTCCAGGCCAGCAAATCACGGTTAAAGTTACTTTGTTCCTCTGCTCCTTCAGCATGGGAACAAGTGCAGAATGGCTCATTCCAACCGTTGATAGTCCGTTTACAGCAACAATCATATCACCACACCTGAAAACACAGGAGAGAAAAAAAAAGATGTGATGACTATTTTTTTGCAGTAACTAGTACATAACAACAAAGAGCACTCCATTGCTGAGGTGATAGGTTTGTGTCAGGTTGTAGCTAAAAAACCCAAAGGGGTGCAATTTTAAGTCTGTTTCACTGCTGAAAATCATCTGGGAAATTCCCAAATCACTAGATTTCAATTCTAATACAAAGATAGTTCTGCATTAAGAGCTGACTTGTAAGGAAACATGAGAAGAGAGACCTGGAAAGATCAAATGGAGTCAAGAGAAGAAAATGAGATGGCATGTGCCTGCCAGCAGCATTTCAGTTTGTTTGTGTGGATTATAACACATTTACACCACCCATGCCTTTACCGTAGGAGATGTAAGGAAAGATACTTATGGTTACCAACCGCATTCCAACCAAGAACTGTGTTTTCAATGGCTACAATTTTGTCAAATATAACCATTTGGCTTGAAATATTGCTCAGCAGATGGTTCAACTGCCAAGCTGTAGCATCTCTGTGTTTTGAAACGGAATAGAAATTTGAGAAGGTGCTGTCTGCCGGCCTTAAGAAAACTGACCTCCAAGGGTTAAGTTTCAGTTTTTATGAGCTCAAGAGAAACCTCAAAAAAAGCACCTAAGTTCTTCCCATGTTGAGCATGCTCCATCTCCAAGCATCTCTTCTCTGTGGCTTGAGTGTGTGTTTGGTGTTTCGACACCAGAGCAGTCAAATAGGACTCTGGAGATCAAACAGGACTCTTCCCGAAACTGACCATCCCAACTACTGAAGGCACCAAAATGGATGGTAAAGAGATGCTCTCCTGAGCTCTCCTGGTGCCCTCCACCAGGGCAGAGCAGAGGAAGAAGAGCCAGCGTGACCAACACCGGTCATATGTGCATTCAGAAGTCCTGCTCTGCCTGAACCAAGGTACCCCATCACCCAAACCACAATGCTATGGTTCATTTAGTGGGGTCTCACTCACCCAGCCATTCTGCTGAAGTCATTTCACCTTCTATAAAATCACATCAGACAGATCACGTAGGCAGAAAACTGTCCTAACTATTGAATTTTGAAGTTATTGTCTCACTTCTTCTCTAGCCCAACAAAACGTTTAGATAATTTAAACAAAACCAAACAGCTTCAAAAAGACCTGCCCCATGATAACTCATGGTGCAGGTTCTAAGGAGCTCCCCCTTGTTGACGGCCCTTTTTTAAGTCCATATTCTCAGTGACACAGTACATTTGAACACAGAGTATAGGGCGCAAATGTGACCACACCCACTCTTCCCCTCTTCTTAGAAATGATGCTTGAATTTCCATTTGTCTGAAGACTTCTAGTTATTAATTCTCCAATCTGAAATTATTTACTTTGGGTTGAACTGAAATCTTTCATTTAATCCAAACTGTTTCATAGTTGGCAAAAAAACCCTGCAATTTTGTGTTTAACCAAGCTATTTTTGCATTTATTTATTTAGTCATTGAACTGAAAAATCAATTACTGGCAAGACTCTAAGCATAAGTACATTTTTTCTTAAGTTACTTTGTAAGTAAATCTACATGTAAAAATCATGCCATAAAACTTCAAGTTGCATATTCTTTACTTCCACATTCACATAACAAATTAGTTTATGAACCAGAGAACCTTTAATAGGAATTGTAAGTCCTAGTTCTGAACTAATCCTACACATAGTTTATGGATATTAGACCTGAGGGTTGCACCCAAACATAACATGTAAGTAGAATAAGGTCAGAAGGGACCTCAGGAGGTCTCCAGTCCCACCTCCTCCTCAAAGGAAGGTCAGCTGTGAGATCTGACCAGGTCTCTTGGGGCTTTACCAGTAACGTCTCAGAACCTCCAAGGGCAGAGACCACACAACTTGTGCCACTGCCTGACCATTCTCATGGGGAAATAGATTCTCCTTAAAACCAGCCTCAACCTCTTTTGTTCAACTTGTGCCCATTGTCTCTTGTCCTCTCACCCTGGACCACTGTGAAAAGCTCGGGCTCTGTCTCCTTGACAAAGTCCTTGTAGGTACTGGAAGGGGCTGTTAGCTGCCCCTGAAACCCTCTCCTTCAGGCCAAGTGCTCCAGCTCCCACCATCTCAGGGGCCTCCACTGAACCTGCCTCATTTATCAGTGTCTTTCCTGCCAACTAATGACTCTCAGGGCACTCGCATGGGGACTTGGTTCCTTAATGATCTTTCCAGAGATCTTTTTCATCTACTTTCTTGCCTTTCCATTAAAGCAGCAGCACACATCAATCAGTACCAGAGTTTCCAGGGGTGGCTTCAGAAGGCTATATGAAAGGATAAAGCAGTTTTCCCCACTTTACAGAAGTAAGTTCTAATTTTTAGCTGTTCGCTAGGAAGACAAAACCATTAGGAATTAGCCAGTTCTGCACATATACATTCTGCAACGTCTCTTGACCTAAGGAAGAGTTCAACAGGGAGACAGAGACAGCAAGTGACACCAGCACTGCAGCTGGGGAGGAGGACAGGAGATGGCAGAGGCACCAGCACAAGTACTACCTCTGACAGATGCCCTTTCCCCGTCAGAAACACCCCGTACTTCCCTGCATCACTCATCAGGGAGGCAAAGCACTGCTGGGCTGCATGACCCGCCCCAGCACAAGATGCTACAGCATATTTCATGAAGCAATTAGTTGCACCAGCACGTAACTATTTAAGTGTTGATGATTATGGTGATGATTATTATTATTATTACTGTTATTTTAGCTTACTTTAATCTTCCATCAAAATATGCAGGAGTTCCAAGAACAATTGTTTTAATGAAGAAAGGCTGGTTCGTGTGGTTCTCCTCGTAGCCACCGACAATGCTGAAACCCCAGCTCCCCAAGTTGCTGCGTCGCAGTACTACGTCATGGCAGCTATGTAGGCAGCTGTGGAATGGAAGCACAAGATAGCAAGAGAAAAAGCCATGTACACCATATAGAGATATTTTTATAGTAGGCACAACACCTGCTGTCTCATCATTACCACTGTGATAAGTGTGGAAGAGAAGGGGAGGGATGGTGATTAGACTTCTGTTCCCAAGCAGAGTAATTTTGCAATATTCAAAACGATTACAAAAAAAACCCCCACAATCTTGAGACAGAAAAGTTTTTTAGAAGAAATAATGCAGTGCTAGAGTAATTATTTAAACACAGTTAATTCTGTAAACTAACAGTAATAGGATGGCATTTAAGGGATTTCACAGGTGGCAAGAATGTGGGTGGAAAAGAGATAACCAATGTGTTTAGTTTGCAAGTCAAAAATGCAATGCATTTTTCTTCCACCCCCAGACAGTTTACGCTTTTTCTACTTTAAGCAAAGATCTAAAAATCCATGCATCATCTTCTCTACCTCTGAACTGATGCATCATCAGTAGTGAAAATATAAATGATTAATCATTTTATTACTCAGAATGTAAATAATCCAGATCATGCTTCACTAACTGTACTGGTGTATGTTACCTTCCCCCGTAAAAATTAATTCTTGCCAATGAAGTAGAGAATAATTTAAAAAAAAAAAAATAAGAGAACATAGAAATTAACTTGTGGGTAAAAAGGGTGTTAAGCTCTTTACTGATGTACAACACTCCTTTAAAGAACAGCAACACAATGCACAGTGTAACTTTAAGAGCCATGCATGGGCATCTGTAGCATATAAGCAACAAACTACTGCTAAAGCATGGAAAGCAAGTACATTTAGCAAAACTGAGAGCTGCTTATTGAGATTAGGTAACTCATTAATACTTGAATGGAAGAGAAATTAATTGACAGTAAAACTTGGAAAATTAAATGAAAAAGTGTGAGATCTTTGAAGGGCCAATGCATGGTTCTGGTACTTGCAACTGCAATTCTGCTACCAATACACCTGGTTCTTGTGATGGTTTTATGCTTAATCTATAGACCTGAGCCCAGTAACTCTATCAGAAGGAGAGGAATTGATCTGCATGCCCTGACTAAAGTTAACAACAGTATTCATTGTAGTGGGAGCTCTTGATAGCAAGCAATACCAGAATGAGCCTATAGCTTTAGCCACAAGAGAGTGAAAACCAGAAGAGTACAAATGAAACATGACGATGTCCAGCAGACTGCAGATTAGTCAAGGGGAGGGAGCTTGCTGCAAATCTTGATGAGTTTTTGCATTTGGCAGAGATGGTAGTGGGTTCTTGAAAAAAATACACAAGGATTTTTAACTACGGGTTCATACACATGGAAGAAAGTTTGTGAGAATGGCAAATCTGATCCAATATTCTGAAGCTGTATATTTGGCTTCATAAATTTAGGTAGCAGATTAGCAGAGACGTGGATAAATACTTTGTGTTTTTATTAATAACCTCTCTGGTTTTAGATATTCTACTGGAAGTTACAATGTGGTTAAAAAATAGAAAATATGACTTGTGTTCAAAGAGAAAAATCCACATGGGTAGTTACTACAGTTTGTGAAGGTAACCCAATTCTATTCATCTTCCAGTTCCCTAAGGAACCAGTGCTCCTGTTCGCAGACCTCTTCCTAAGCACACTGCCAACCGAATATAGCCAAGATGGTCCATCAGGCAGAAACAACGGCCGATGTGCTGCAGCTAATAAGGTCTCTGCTTTTGTATCTTTCTTCGACTTAGCTTAAAACAGGTAACTAATTACTTTATCAATTAAGTCTGTACCTTGGAAGTCCCAGCCACATGACCCAGGATGGTGACCAACTGGCATCGTATTCATTTTCACTGATGGTACTCAACTGTTCTTCATTAGCCTGGGGCTGTTCTTCTACAATCTGGACTTCCAGGGCTTTCAGGGCAACCACTGAAGAGGCAGCACTAGCTTTCAGCATGGCCACTGCCTCGCTGTGACTTAGGTTGGTCAAATCGATGCCATTGATGTTCAGCAGCACATCACCTGTTGAAAGGCACAAGTGAGAACACATCAGTCTGTCAGAGCTGTTCCTGTTGACAGCACCTCTGCCATTTAATTTAATACTGTATTATTTGGAGCTGAGACAGTCTGAACTGACAGCCTGGGAATGTGAATAGCTCTGAAGCCTTATACTGCTGGTTTGAAACATTAATGTACTGGACTATTAAGCTGGATCAGTATAATTTATTTCCACATAACATGTCAAATGCTGCAGCTTCGATGGAATATCGCCCTGAAAATCCAAGACAGAAATTACCTAAGCCCCTCACCATCTTGGCTGCAACTGCTATTGCAGATGCCACTACATAATCGTTTCCAGTGGTGGCTCTCAAGTCCACCCTAACTTTAAAAAGGAAGGAAGAACGATGGAAGAAACAGTACAGGCACCATGAAGTAATAAACTCTTGTAGATAAGTGAGGCTCCACAGTGTTTTAGGTCTTCTGCTTTTTCTAACTTGTTACTCAGGAGAACAAAAATGGAATTCAAAAACTACTGGAAAGGCTGGTACACAAATCAGTCCATTAGAAGAAAGAAAGAGCATCTCTATAAAGATAATCTGGAAAGAGTCAAAGCCACTCAAAAAAAAAAGACACAATTTTTATTTTATTTTGGAATATTTTTAAAAAGCCTCAGAATTAAAACAAGAATGTTATTTATTGTCCAAGCAGTGACAGTCTCCTCTTTCACATTATGTCTCACTTACTGTTGAAAGCCAGAAAAAACAAAGCAAAACCGCGAACACCTGGGTTACATTTGCAATGAGACTCATTTTTTAAAAGCCTTTTCCTCCTATGGAAAGCTAAAGCTGAGGTGCAGCTTAACTTTAAATCACTTTTGTTGCTGCTGCGGCTACTTTAATGTTACACAACGAAAGAGCAATTGCGATTCTTCTACCAAGTGTGTTTTTCATAGTAGTACAGAAAAAGAAAGCATACCCGTTGGTATGTGGGTGTAAATCTCCCTCTTTCAGAAGCATATAAAGATGCTCCCACACTGTTCTTTTTAAATTTGGAAACTGTGAAGTTTTTTTCCCTAAATTTCTTTCCTAAAACAATCTGTAATTCTGTGAACTCTGAATCCCGGAGATCCCACAGGCAGTCTTTGTTTCACGTATGGCCCAGTATGTTCTAATCATCAAATGCTTTGCTATGGATCAGGCAGGGCTGCCTCACCCACACCGAGCCTAACCTCCACCTCCCGGTTCCCTTCTGCGCAGCCAAGGAACATGTAGCACCCCTGAAGACCAGCAAACCCAACCTCTCCCAAAGGGTTAAGAAAGCATTCAGGAACCAGGGTCAACACTAACGCAGCTTTGGGGATAAACTCAGAATGGGTGAGCTGTGTCCTGTCATCAGAGCATCTCTGCTGTTCGGATATTACACTGCAGAGCAGAGATTCCTCAGACAGAGATGGGGCCCAGCCCACCAAATTAAACACAAACACAGGATGCGTGCACTACAGTACAAAGCATCACACTGGACCCTCAGCTCAAGGGATCACAGTCAGCTTTAAAGAATTTAACCAGACATTTCCTGCTCTTATCTGCTTCCCCTGCTATCATTCTTTAAACATCCCTTTCCTAGAAAAGGTGGAAGTGCAATACTAAATACTTTATTTCCATTACTGAAACATGAAGAAAAGCATCCAGCAGCACTTCCCTACATCTGAGAAGAGACTTTTTGACACCACCTGACTCCAGAGAATGTAGTCATAAAAAAGCAATGCGAGGCCACCCGTGCCACCAGGGAAGCCGAGCCCCACCTCGTTTAATCCTGCCGTCTCTTGCCAAACACCCGTGGGGCTGTACACTTGTCACGAAGATGGGCAGTTCGCCACTTTTGCTGCCTCTGCCTCCTGCCACTGTCATTCCCAGAGATTCATGTGGCTCTTTTTTCACAGTAATGTGCTTTTCTTGGCATGTAACACACTGGGAGAGATCCTGTTTGACAAGAATAACATTTTTAAAACTAAAAAAAACCCCAAAAAAACAAAACCAAAACAAACCAGAACAAAACACAACTAAACACACCCCAAAGCTATACTTTGGCACTTTAACAGAATGGTTTAAAAGGACTAAGTAGTGCAAATCGGCTTTGGCTGGATTTCCTCCAGGTCAGAAAAAAACCAAACCAAACCAAACCAAACAAAAAAAAACAAAGCAAAAAAGAAGCCACTCGTGTAGACACTTAAATAACACACAGAAAGTTTATAAAGGCCCATCTTGGGAATCTCACTCCAGTTTTTCTGAGCATCCTATGCTGGAATAGGCTAAATTTTAGGACTGCACTACAAAACCATATGGTCAAAAGACTGGACACAAAACAGAAGCAAATCTTTTAATGTCTTGGTGAACACCAGCATTACCCCATTTGTCAGTAGAATATGGCCCAGAACTACAAAGAAGCTCCTAAGAAGTGAAAACATGTTTTCATTATGACAAAGAGAGATTATTTAAAGCCCTTATACGTCATGTTTTCTTTTGCAGCTGGTATGTTTGAATCTCTCAGAGCACAAAGTATCAATGTGATAAGGCTCGTAATGGGAGCCTTGTGCAGTCTCCCTAATGACTACAACAAAGTCCCGAACATGAAGAAAGAAGAGATCCTGTATTTAATTTTCTAACACCCAAATGATAAAGTTTAGCTTGTATTTAGTTTTGCCCCATCAAAAGGATCTAAACCTGAATCAAGGTATATTTTATTTGCTGAAGCCCTTCCTCTTCAGGATATTTAGTGACACATTCAAACCACTGCACATACACTTGCAGTGGCATCTTAAATTAACAGAATACTTGCAACAAATCTAAAATAACAGAAGAAATAACCTGGAAGATTTGTCCAACTACAAATACTTATTTATTCCCCTGCCTTCTCTTGGAAAATGGCAACACTGCTTTCTTCAACTTCCAGTGCCAAATGTTCCTTCTGACTGACTCTGCTTCTCGCAGATTCATGTTAATCATGTATATAGCTGCATGTATACATACCATAGCTTATAAAGAAAGCTCCTTAAGTCTTCAGGCTTTAGGACTAACTGGCTGGTGCCATGCAATTATATAAATATATTTTAAGCCACAAGACTTCTATGCCAGCTGTAGGTTAACGAGAGAGAGGCAAAGATAAATTGTATGAAACATGGGAAATGTCCACTTGTGGTTAACATGAGACTTCCCACTTTGAAAGGGCCCACGGATAGTATTGATATGTGAAGGAAATCAGCTCAGTCAACAGATCAACTTTGGGACTGCAATATGAACACAACCAATGCTGGCAGATGGAAAGTGAGTTCAAGCTCTGATACACACGAGCTGTAATAATTGTGTTGATATGGCCTAACGTTGTGGCAAGCACTAGTGCCCACTAACTATTCAGGAGCCTCATTTTTGTCCCTCAGGAGGAAAACAAGCTTCCTAGAACCTCACTTGTTCTTTTCTGAAATTACCCAAACTATGAAAAGAAAGCACTCTCAACACATGTAAATCCTTCCAACAGAAGTATGATGTTAAACAGTGATGCCAACAGTGGACAGGAGGAAAGGTGGCTTGGTTGACATGGTCAACATGACAATTATTTCACAAAATTAACTTCTCAAAAGTGAGAAGTTGTCTTTTTCTAACTACTAGAACATCTCAAGCACAGGGTTTATTTCTGTAGGTGTTCCATATAATTTGACACTAGCTTCAAGGAAGTCTCTTCATTCTGCCTTTCCCTCCCTGCTTGACCCTGCAGAACTCAGCAGTCCTGCAGGCAGCACTGCTGGCTCATGGAGGAGATGACACATGTCTGCAACATGCTCTTTATATGCTGGACGGTGTGCACCACATCTCCTGTCCTTTCTGGTTGCAGCCAGCACAGCAGCAACAAAAACATAATGTTCTCAAATGACAGCTCTCCCATGCAGCAGTAACACATGAGCTGCTGTCTTAGACAAGGTCTAACAACTCCAGCTGCATGAGCTCAGAGAACTTGCTTCTTTTGCTGCAGTCAGCAAATAAAAGAAATATTGAAAAGCTGTGGTGTATCTTTTGTTCTCACTCCAGATATGATGCAGGACTTGAGTACTTGGAAGTGGAAGTCATTGTCTTTTTTTTTTTTTTTTAATTAGGTAAAAAATTAGATATAACCCTTTCTTCCAGTCTTGACTTGCTACATACCTAGACCATCATGAGTAATATGGTATTTATACCTCTTAGACGGAGAAACACCAACCTTATGTGAGTTGGGCCTGCTGTGGAACAGCTGCTGGGACTGGTGTTGGTGTGGGTTGCTGTTGTGAGTCCCGGTGTCTCGGATAATGCTGACCGTCTGTGACTTCAGGGGTCTAGAGATAATCAAATTCACTCTCTCCCCACTAGCCTGTCGAATACATAAAAAAAAGTAATTAAGTGGACAGGATATTAATTGTTAGCAGAGGGGGAGGAAAATGTATGATGAAATATGAAACAAGGCAACAGCAGTACTTGCTTTCCAGGTCCTGGGAGTGCCACAAAGTGCTTAAACTGCACAGTTCCTTACTGCCTTCTTGCTGCAATTCCCCCCAGAACCGAGGGGATATTAACACTCCCCACCTTTGCCTCTGATGTTACACTTACATCATCTGGAAATCCTTTGCCAAAAGGACCATTTCTCACTTCGTGTTACAAAGCTTTAAACATTAAAAACCACTCAATTCCATTTGCAGCCTCTGCGGACTTCTGCAGCATGTAGCAATAAAAGAAAGATGTGCCCATGTGATGGCTCCAGGATGTGCAGATTTTGGTCAAAACCTCCGAAAACCTCTGGTACTTCCCAAAGAGACTTCCAAGAAAGATGTTATATATGAGAAGACCATTGAATTCTGGACTTTGGGGAGTATCAAGAGACTCAGTTTCCAGATGTTAAATCAAACATCAACTCTCTTTATTGCCACAAAACCACACCTCAACAGATAAAAGTTACACAGTGTAAAATTCTGACCACTTCACTGTATCAAAAAACTGGGAAATTGAAATAGCAATTCCCAAGATGGTTGTTATTTTCCTTTAACTGCAAGTGAAGCTCTTGAAACGATTCCTGAAACAAATATTTACTACTCATTTGTATTGTAATTCTCTATGTGGTGCTGGGTTAAGCAAAGATGACTTCACTAGACTGCAAGAACCCACTACTGATCTATTCCAACTTTCCTAAAAACAAAGCAATTTTCACCAATGTCC